TAAAAACGTACGTTTATACGCACAATTTTGATATCAAAATCTGCTTGCATTCATATATGAAGCGTATGAATATATATATATATATATATATATATATATATATATATATATATATATATATATATATATATATATATATATATATATATATATATATATATATATAAGGAGGAGGCACAGTGGAGTAATGGATTGAGTAATCGGAGGGCCGAGTTCGAATTCCAGTCGAGTCCATTACATTCACTTACGTGCTAATACCCTTGGGAAAGGTGTGAATCCTCTTCTTCTCCCTCCAGCTATGGGTAAATAGCAAGGCAGACTGGGTTCTATAGCCTTGGATGGCAACTGGTCTAGGAGAAGGACAACTCTGAATTCAAACCCGAAGTGGAGCCCTTAAGGCGGATGGACGGCACTGGCAACTCCTGCAGCCGCGCTGGTACCAAACTGTATTGGTTTATCCTCTCCTTTGGACTTTGCTAGCAAGGCCGAGAGGGGAACTAGACGATATGGCGCCAGTTTTTTACATTGCGCAGATCAGGTAAAAATTTCAGTGATTGCGCAGGTCAGTGTTGCCAATATTGTGTGAAAATTTTGTGTGAATTGATTGGACGGTTTTGAAATATAAAAAAGTTATCTTGATAATAATTTGGCACGCAGTGTATATTAAGACATATTTCGTTGTATAGATTAGACATGTTTTGTCTACTTATTTTCGATAAGATCCTTTCATACTCATGGATAGGTTTTTGATGTCATTATTGAAGGACGATAGAAAATCGCCGTGTTTATACATATTTGTTTTATTTTCAAGTACTTTCGATATATCCATGTCACACTGTTTTTTAAAAATAAAAAATAAAAATACTAAAGAACTTCGGATTATTAACCTAACGATTCTTTCTTATTTTTCAATATATTTGCACACACACACACACACACACACACACACACACACATATATATATATATATATATATATATATATATACAAAATTCACAAATCTTCTCGCCAACAGACTACCTGCCAAAAGGGGTGGAAATAAAACCCCTAAAGCAAGAAAAACCTTACATAAAAAAAAAATCAAAACTATGCAAGCAGTAAAGACCAAAAGGCAAATACCTACCTAAGCAGTAAATAACAGTACTCAATTTTAGTCTATCCAGACACCACAAAAAAAAAGAAAACGCTTCACAGCAACAACCCATAACGTGGCACAGCTCTAGTCGCTACTTAAGTCTTATACTTTTCCTGATTTTCAGGTGAACAGAACATCGGATTAAAAATAAATCCATGATTATATATATATATATATATATATATATATATATATATATATATATATATATATATATATAAATATAATGTTCTGTCATTTTTATGGCATGGAGCACTTTTATGCTAGAAGGCTAATTTTGGGCAGACATTGTTTAAAGCTGCTTATTCAAACCTATATACTCTAACGTGAATTTGGTTGTCTGGTTCAGTTGAAGAGTTTTTTGGCTTAATACTTTAGCTCCTGTACCATAACACCGGTTTCTCTTGTTATTGAGCGTTTTTTGCTATACTGGCAAGCATTTCCAGGTTGAATATTTTTTTTTTTTTTGCCATTTTAGATCTCGGCTGGATGATCTTCTCTCCTTAGTGTGCGAATTTGGTTTGCTTGTCAAATTGTACTCGGCCGATGGTATATAAGGTAATCGACTTATTACTGCAAGTTACTGGCTACCTGAAGATTGTGTGCAAACACATGAAACTTGGCCAGTCATTGCCTACCTGGTTATTTAAATTATATTCAAATGCTCTGTCATTTTTATGGCATGGAGAACTTTTATGCCAGAAGGCTAATTTTGGGCAGACTCTGTTTAGAGCTGCTTATTCAAACCTTGGAATTTTACGCATATTTATATAACGTGGACATTGAAGTTAATACCCAAAGGCGACAGTGTGTTTCATACTAAATGCAATCATCACTGTAGCTAGACGTCCGGTTGCCCCTAGCTTGATCGAAACCCGACTGAATTGGTGTCAGTCGGATATTCTACCCCTAAAGAAGGTGAATTTAAGCGTATTTATTTTTAGATAAACACACAGTGACTGAGTGAACTCGACTCGCTTTACCGAAGAGTCTTGCATTATTAGCAGTAATAGTCACTCCCCAGAGTGCTCAACCGAAATAAATTTTTCAGGAGCATATATTGCCATCCACAGACTGGTTCAGTAGTGAATATTTATCACATAGCTCGGCATGTTAAAATTTTAGATAAAATTTTGCGATTAATTACCGTATTTTCCTGCATATAAGACACATTTTCCTTCAAAATGTCGCAAAATTTCGACATGCCTCTTATATGCGAATTTGATGGTGTGTACACATTTCTTTCCGGGTACCGCCCAGAAACCTAAGGTTAGAAACGGTATCAAGACATTTCCACTAACCAATTAAAAACAAACAAACAAAAAAAACAAACAAACAAACAAAAGAAACAAAAAAAAAAACCCCCCCAAAAAAAAAAAAGCACACATATTTTACATAAATGAATTCCTTCGTAAGTTGTGGGCTGTACTCGTGAGAACAATTTTTTGTATTAATATTATTATTGTCGTTACTGTCAAAGGAATTATCGTAACAAAGTACCGGCGACGTTAACCAGGACCAGCTGATCCATCATATATGCCCAACACAATCTTATCATTAGCCAACTGGAAACTAGAACAGAAAAGTCACAAGTTAAATGAAATATAGCAGATGGTTTATGTAGCTTGCGTTTTATAAAATGTTTTTTTTCTACTTTGTTTTCTCTTGCAATGTTTGATTACTGGATGTAATCATGTACGATATTTTTGTTATTGGGATTTCTTGTTGCTTTTTATATACAGTGAGATCTTCTATTATATCTAAAATGCTTTTTGAAGGATGTGCGTCTGGTGTAATCGATTGTAGCTCAGAATGAGAAATCGGAGAGCTGAGTTCATTACATTCACTTGTGGTCAAAAACACTTGCGAAAGATATACATCTATATCTTACTCACCAATTACGGGTTAAATAGCATGGCAGACTGTGTTCTTTAGCTTTGGTTGCCAACCTTTCTAGAGTTGGTAACTCGATAAAAACACGCATCTCACAGCAAGGAATGGCTACCCGTGATGATGCATCGTCCCATGAAGATGCATCGGCTCCTGAAATTCATTAAATGCATGAGTTTCGCATTCTGCCGCAAGCAAGAAAAGCGTTCACTTTTTAATGTTTTGTATAATGATAGCATGCTTTTGAATGATAAGAGCTTACTTATGTATAATGATAGCTTGCTTCTGTATAATGATAGCTTACCTTTGTATAAGAGTTTACTTTTGTATAATGAGAGCTTACTTTTGTATAATGGTAACTTACATATATATAATGATAGCTTACTTTTGTATAATGATAGCTTACTTTTGAATGATAAGAGCTTGCTTATGAATCATGATAAGCTTACTCATGCACAATGGTAGCTTACTTATGTATAATGATAGCTTACCTTTGTATAATGGTAACTTACTTATGTATAATGATAGCTTACTTCTGTATAATGAGAGGTTACTTTTGTATAATGGTACCTTATGTATAATGATAGCTTACTTTTGTATAATGGTACCTTTTGTATAATGAGAGCTTAATTTTGTATAATGATATCATACAGTCTTACATGCTTAAATACATTAAAAATATTTTTCTGAATATGCCCTACCGAAATGGGTGGTGTCTACGACTACTATTGCTATCGAGGAATGCGCACATAAGACAAGTGTAAACGACGGAATTGGTAAGGAGCCGCATTCTTTACAGTGTTTGGAAACGACAAATTCAATGATCGTTTCTTCTGAAAGTTTCTTTTGCTTTGACGCGAATGATAGCGTGACATCCTTTAAAAAGGGTGAAAAAAATGCATGAATAAATCCAAGCAGAAATTAAAAACGTTTATCTTTAAAGATAGTTTTCGTACTTTTGATATGAGTCATTGTCATTTCCAAGAGAGATGTTTGGGGGTAGTGACCTCATTTTCTTTGTTATTTTTGTTGTTACGAAAATAGTTCAATCGATCATTCGAAAGGCTTCAGGTGTATATTCCCTATAGAAAAGATTGGGGTATCATTTTTTTCTTTTTTTTTTTTTGGTAGGAATAATCTAGGGTAAGTTTCTAGTGAGAAATACAGAAGATAAGCAAATTAAAAGAAAGTGCCTACATAATTTAAATTGTATTTGAAAATGATTTTATCAATTTCACTTTAAAAACTTAAAAAAATAGCCTGACACAATAGATCCCTGACTTCATCTTCTTACTAGAATCATTTTTCTCTCACTGTTACTCCGCATTAGCAAACAGAAAAGTATGAATGTTTACGTTTTCCATTGATAATTGGAGTGATTATATCGAATCAATGACTAGGTTTGATTCGTTTTTTACGGCTTATCAACCCTTTTCAGGTTATCTAAAGCCAGGAAATACTTTTAGATTCTAAGAATTTTTGCGAGGAGATAATGTTTTAGTGATACAATTTTTACTAATTAACCCATAACTGGGGAGAAAAGAGGTAAATTCATACCTAATCAGAATCTGATAAACAAGCAAGAAATGATAGTGGATATAAAGTGGGGGATCAATTCTATATTACAATCAACACATGAACGGATCCCTCACTTTTCGACCATTGTAAATTCTATAAATTTATATTCCTGAGAATAATATAAATCTAAAAATTATGACAGTGTAGATTGATTCGGTTTCTATAGTTTATCAATCCTTTGAAAGTTATTTAAATCCAGGAAATATTTTTGGGGGAGGAGGAGATAATAATGATTTAGTGACACGTCAAAGCTGGGTGGGGAGAGATGCGGATACGTGCCGTTCCTGCGGTTATTTGTGCGTAAGTGAATATAACGAACCCAACTGGAATTGGAACTCGGCTCTCCGAAAAACAATTCCGAGTCATTATCCATTACACTACCGGCACATCGAAACTTACCGCATCTGTTACTCCCAAGTGGTCACTTATCTAGATACTGAACAGGCTCAACGTTGCTTAACTTCGATGATCGTACGGGAACCGGTGTTTCAACGTGATATGGTCGTAAGCAATAATCAATGACTAAGTCTGCTTCTAAGAAAGTTGATTCACTGTGTCGCTAATCTTTCTCACCCGAATCTATCTTACACTTTTATAAGTCTACCATTCATCCATCTATTGAATATTATTGCTACATCGGGTCTGGTACTTTTCCAATTCAGTCCTGGTTATATTGATAAACTCCATCCGGCAGTAAGTCCTCTAATTGGGAGATTGGATGTTTTGAGGGGCGTAGAACAACCTCTTAATTGCTGTTGTTCCCAGGTCTACTCTATCTGGGGTGTTAGGGTTCAAACTATGGGCAAATAGTAAACCCCAAACAAAAACAAAACACTATGAAAGTATAAAAATTACATTAGTAAAAATACCAATAATACATTTTATACAAAAAAATTATTTATAGTAAAATTGCCAACAATACATTTTATAGCAAAATGACCAAAATCTGTAGTTGACGGCATTTGCGTTTAAAATATAAATAGTTGAAGTTATAAAATTGTGTTCAAAATTTAGATTTCGGCATTAAATAACCCATAGAGTTGTTGATATGCCACTAAAATAAAATTTAAAAAAAAAAAAAAAAACAGAAAAGGGTCTGATTTCTGTATCACCCCCCCACACCCAGCCGGATTTGAATTCAGATTGTTATTTTCCCTAGACTGGTTGCCAACCAAATGTAGAGAACTTTGAAGGGGTGAATTCATATATTTCCAAGAGTGTGCGAAAATGAACGCAAAGAATTCAACTGGAAATTGAACTCGGCACGCCAAATTCACTTTCCGTTCCATTGTACGTATGTATAGCTGGCCACACGTATTCGAGGATACACGTCTACTAGGGCGACCCGTGGTATAGTTTTCAGGCACTTACCAAAGGTGCCGCTCGCTGGGATAGACTCCTCCAGTCCGATAACATCAGGAAGACTCCTTCCTGACGAATCAACCGTGTTGAGAACCCACATTTTGTGTTTATAATACAAATGTGTCGAGCAGACTTTAGTTACTGTTTCTGGGAAAGAGCGTGTTATCTAGCATGATCAACAATTTGAACAAGTCCAGCACACTAAAGCCCTCGGCCTTGTGACTTGTGATTTTGTGCTAGCACAGCTATCGGCGGGTTCCGTCTACCCAATTTTTACTCACAATGCTTGGGTCAAATCCGGCACTTTCCAAAGGTGCTGGGATCAACCCCTCTAGTCCCGAAGTTGCCTTACTGACAAATCGACCCTGGTGAGATTCGAACTCGGGTCTCATGGTCAGAAAGCGAACGTTGTAACCACTCACGTTCCATTAACGACTATATAAAATTCTATCCTTCAGCTACTTCTCCAAGGCAGCTATAAATGAAACATCTGTAGATATTTAATTTAATGAGATGAGCCCGACGCAAAGCGATATTAAGAGGTCACTCAGTGAAGATACGAACCACTCATAATATTTTGCGAAGCTGGCTCACATGTCATTACCAAGAGCAGTTCAATTAGATACAGATACGAAAGGATGTGTCATAATAAGGTCGACATTCCTGCATAGGGTTGTTTTACTCTGAAATGAGCGTGAATACGACTCGTGATCGAATCTAACCATATTGACCAAGGCTTCGCTAATTTCGAATTATGGGCTATTGACCGAATATGGCTGACGAGACTATTCAATGAGACCAGTGATATTTTTATATTTATTTTTTTTTAAATCATTTCACCCCAAAGAAAGGCAATAAAGCGACTAAGATATGAGGGGGGAGTACTGAGTGTGAGAGAACACGAGGAAAAAAATCTTAATGAGAGAGAACAATAAAAGAACACAGAAGATAACGATTAACATTGCATTTAAATTTCTGAAGATCAAAGTTGACTCGGAAGCAAGAAGCCCGGAAGAGAGTTCCACAAGCGAGAAGTGCAAAAAAAAAAAAAAAAGAAACTTTTAGCATAGAACTTACGGTTACATCTAACCGTTTCAACTGTAAAACGATGAGACCTATCTGCCAATCTATCAGTGCGTTTAAATTCATAAAGTCTAGCTACCATAGAAGAAAGTTCATCGGAGCAATTGCCACGAAAATATTTATAAAAAAAACACTGGGAAGCTACGTTACGGTGGTGGGAAAGTGACTGAAGCCGAGATGCGAGGTCAGGACGAATAACATTGCAGATTCTTGTTTGTATTTTATCAATGATCTCTATATACATAGCAGAAGCACCATACCAGATGTGTCAACAATATTCAAAGGATGGACGAATGATAGACTTATAAATATATCAGATAGATTCCGCTGAGAAAAATGATCTAAAACAACACAGTGAACCAACTTTCCTAGCTGCAGACCTAGGAATTGATTCAGTATATTTTTTTTATCTTTACGTAATCGGAAAATGTTAACCTGAGAAGCTGCAACGAGTCACTCTCCTGGGGTCAAAAGGGATTCTCCCAGACGATCAAAGAGAGCAGTTTTGTTTTGGAGGCGTTAAAATGAACTCCCCATTCCTTGCCCCAGTTGACAAAAATTTGGAGGTCATTTTTAGAGATCATCTGCCAATTTGAACTTATTGAACCGATCAGAATTACTATAAAGAGAGGAGTGAATAGTTGTGTCATCAGCATAGATACCTTGTTGAAAACTGATGACATCAGGAGATTCGTTGATGAAAATTATGAATAAAGTAGGTTCAAGATACCTGCATTAATGTAAAAATATCTCGAAAACATAAGGAGTGCCTCTGCGGTCTCCCTTGTCGTATGACTTGGTTTATTTTAATCAGCATTTTGATTTGATCATCATTAACGACGGAATGTTCTTGGTCTTACTGATGAAAATTTCTTTTCCTGAACTTAGCGAAGCACTTACGGACAATACACTTAGCTACGACACCAGTTGCATAAACGACACATATATCTTTTGCTGTTTGTTACATCGTATTTTTATGTTTTCAGAAATAAAACAACATCACATGACAGAAGTTCGCATCATTTTTCTTCAGTTTCTATTGTAACGTAAAAATATAAAAAATTCACAATCCACTCATGAATCGTATAGAAAAACGCGTTGGGATGTGGCATTTCGGAATATGCATAGATATAATAAATTTCAGCCATGTCTGAAACGAAATCACCTGTTCAAATGCAACCTGTTCAAATGGCACCTGTTGAAAAACGCCACGAACATTTCTTTCAATAAATAAAGGGACTCTCACGTCGTTTAAGACGTATGAGGACCCAGCAGCTTGGTTCTGAGAAGCGTACAACCAGATTAGCCGCACATATCATTTGGTAATAGTGGTGAAAGCTTGCGCAGAACAAGCCAGACGTTTCGCAAGAAACTGGTGCAGATAGTGTGCTAATGTGTCCCAAGCTCTCCAAACGGTTCCCTATCAACAGGTTTTGAATTGAGAGTTGTCATCCCAGACAGGTGGTCCTTCTTTTAGACGATAGTCTGTTCTTCTATTTACCTATAGCTATCGGGGTGGGGAGAAGAAATGGATTTATACCTCGCCAAGGGTAGTTGTACGTAAGTGAATGTAAGGAATCCAAATGGAATTCGAACTCGGCTCTCCCGTTAACAATTCCCAATCATTATCTATTACATCGCCCGCATATATATATATGGTGTATTCGGACAGCAGATCATTATTTAAACATATATTGTTAATTATAACAGACAAGGAATGTCTATTATGCTTAACAATATATGTTTTTATATATATATATATATATATATATATATATATATATATATATAAAATAAAGAGGTATATATATATATTAATACGTTTTGCGTTGTAATATATATTTTTAATTGTAATGTGGATTTTTTAAAAAATCCACATTACAACCAAAAACGTTTGCGGTACCTCTCTTTTTTATATATATATATATATATATATATATATATATATATATATATATATATATATATATATGTAGAGACAGAGAGAGATAGCGTGATTACCTGAGGTTCCATCTATGAAACTTTGCAGTCAGGATACTCAAGGTAACATCAATCAGCTAAGTGACAAACCTTTTACTTGCATTATATATATATATATATATATATATATATATATATATAACAATAAAGACAAAGCAATTAATCAACAGTCCAGAAATTTATTATTAAAATGGTTCTGGTTAATTTTGGTTAATAACAATTAAATGCGATGGTAAACAATAGTAAATTAATTACTGATCCTGTTCGAACTGCAAACCACCTGCTTCAATGCTTTGCATTTTTTATTATTTTAAGTAACTGTATAGTCACTTTATTGCCACCCTGTCTGTCTGTCTGTCTCTGTCTTTATCTCTCTCTCTCTCTATGTATATATATATATATATATATATATATATATATATATATATATATATGTGTGTGTGTGTGTGTGTGTGTTGTGTGTGTGTGTGAAGAAATATACTTTTAAGGTGAGCTATATTTATGGTAAAAAGTGCTCAACATCAGAGATAGATCGTATGTAAATATAAAGTGAACATTGAAGTCAACACTGTCTGAGTGTTGACTTCAATGTTCACTTATATATATATATATATATATATATATATATATATATATATATGGCAATAAACCTACTATACAGTAACCTTAGTAATTAAGACAAAGCAATTAATCAACAGTCCAGTTTCTGGTAAATAACAATAACTATGTTAAGCAGTAGAAAATTAATTATCGATACTGTTCGAACTACAAGCCATTTCTTATTTTAAGAAATTGTATAGTGACTTTACTTTATTGCCATCCTGTATGTATGAGTATATATATATATATATATATATACACGTATTTTATGACATTTTTATGTTTATACATTCTTTTTTATAGATACAAATATTTAAGTAAGTGCTCTGTTTATAATAAACAGTATTAAACAACATTTATCGGCCTGAATGTACGAGAAATTGTCATCCAAAATATTCGTCCTCCGACAGGAATCGAACCTGTATCCTATACGGAACCGTCATATAGCCTGACATGCCTTTAATCGATTTCTATGACAATTTC